TGGTTATGTTCCTTTGAATGTTCGTTTGATGTAAAAGGCGAGATTCCAAATATTTGTGACATTTTTAAACTTGCAGTACTACATGAAAAAACAAACAAACAAACAAACAAACAAACAAACAAACAAACAGGGTTTATTCCCAGGAGGAGAACTTCCTAGATGGTTCAAATGTGTGTGGTTCCCAAACCATTCTCACATTTTATCTCTATACTATAACTTTATCTGTATCTTGTTTAAATAACAACATTTAAATACATGCATATTAAAAAAACAAACAAACAAACAACAACAAAAAAAAAAAACATTGATATTCAATTAAAGGGTTATGTCTGGAAATGATCAGGAAACATTTGGCCAAAATAACCAAGTTCTAAAAATAACAGAGTTGGAAGCTTTTTTTTTCATTTTCAATATTTTAGCCTAAAATAAAAAATGATCATGTCCATTCTCCATGATTCCTTTTAGAGGCAAATAATAATGTCTAGTTCATGTTTTGGTTGGCAAAATCTGGCACTGAACCTAGCATGAACCAAAGTACCTCTTACATGAGATTCACTGTATTAATACAATTTATGTGTATAGTGCCAGCTATGTATTCAGTGCATGTTTTGTTTTGTAGCAAATTGATAGTTCAGGAGAAAATAAGCTTAACTTCTAATTTAAAATACATTTATGACATGATTTTACCAATCTCTCATTGTCTCATTATTTAACACTTCAAATCACAAAAAGAGATTGTTCATATAACTTGCAATGCATCTATCTGTGCCATGCCTGGACTTTAAAGTAAAATGGTACCTTTCTTGAAAATGGACAAGATGTGAGATACCCAATGTGGTTTTATGTCATCTATATAATTTATTTACAAAGCGAAAGCAAATTCTGTAGCACTGGATTTAATTGTGTTTACTTACTAAGCATAGAATGTGCAATTCAGTTGTTAATGCTCCACAACCCCCAGTTTAGTGAATAAGTCCCAACTGAGTATAGGGAATTATTAAAGTTTACAGACAAAACAAACTGATACAGTATTTGAAAGATTTCGACATTCTAAAATGAATAGATAATGCGTGTAAACTAGAACACTTTTGCTTCCAGTCTGAGCTCATATGTCTGTGTTACCATATACAAGTTGGGATATCATTAATTGTTTGAGAGCAAAATCTGATAGTATAAACTTCTGCTTCGAGGAGACTGGGCCAAAACATAGGAAGCAGAATAAACCTGGCTTTTTCTAATCAGCCATACACACTCTCACACATCTAGACATCACTCACATTTATAAAGAACCATTTTTCACTAAAATGTATTATTTTTCCTTATATGAACCTGAAGTAATGTTTGTCTGCAGCATTCTGATTTATTAGTGACAGAGCATCTGGAAGGTGTAAAATTTTCTCTGAAGCATATAAATAAAGCAGGCTCATTTCCACCTTATGGGGGTCAATCAAGGTGATCTCCTGATCTATAGTAACCAATACAGAGGCAAGATTCCCAGTAGCA